GTCATAAGAACTGTCCCTAATTGTCTGCTCCTTGGTCTTGGATTGATTTAGGGAGAGAAAATATTAGCTTGGTTTGTAAGAGTTAGATAAAGGAGGTGGTTGGGTGTGTGGACTTGGGATTGTTTGGTTTGTGTATAAAAGGTATGGTCACAGGTAAGTAATTTATTACTTGTAGTAATTAGCTAGTCCTGAGAGCAGCAGTCTCTCCCAGACAGCAAGGCTCCCTCAAGACGTCAAAACATGGTAAAATAAAAAACATGATTACTATTGTGCTCTCTTCTGGAAAATTTCTTCATCTCTCTTCTCCAGTTCACTAATGCTGTCTTCAACTGAATCTGAGCCTCTATTAAATCCATTCATTGAGTTTCTACTTTTAATTAGAATATTCTTTATTTTTGCAAGGTTTTTTTTGACTAAAATAATTTCTCGCTTTTTGCTCATTTTCCAATTTCCTATTGTATTTACTTGAGCATATTAAATATGCCTCTTTTATGTTTGTGTGTGGCAATTCTAATAATTAAAGCCATTGTGGGTCTGATTCTATTGTCTGTTTTTTCTGTTGGCACTTGCTCATACTGCCTTGTTTTCTTAGGTATTTTGTGAGGTATCCCTGTGAGTTCATATTACTTGGAATTTAACTGTGGAGATTATTTGAAACTAGAATAAATATATATTCTTCCAGAGAAAATTTGCATTTGCTTTTGTTAGGTACCTGGACAGTACCAATTTAAGATTATCACCTACATTTTTAATTTGAGGTTTTTTTTTTTTTTTTTTTAGCTCATCCAGTTAGGGCTACAATCTTGCATTACAGTCAGCTTGTGGTTACAAATTGTCAGGGAAAATATTTTTTCCTTTCCATTCAGTGCCATTTTGCTATGGGTAGTCTTTTAGGGTTCCTGAGTGGGGGCATGTGCCATCTATATTTGATATATAATTCGGCAATTTAACTGTTTAGGGTCCTGATTTTATATAGGTGGCCTTTGATTAGATTCTACCTCTAGGATACCCCTATAATTTTTTCCTTGTCTCTAAGCCCATAATGACATCATGTTTTATAAATGTGTTTGGGTGAATCCAGACTCTAGGACTGATATTATTTCTCTGTGTTTCCACTTTCACTTCATTTTTTTTTTTTTTTGGCTTTCTTAAGTAACCTTACATTCTTGCCATCTCATTGATTAATTAAAAGTCATATACTTTAAAAATATTTTATGCAGCATTTCTGTTTATCTTCAGTAAGAGTTCTATCAAAAATGCAGATCTCTCAGATTCATCCTATATTTATTTCTCTGATACGTATTTTGGAGAATTTCATTATATCTACTTTCCACTTAACTAAGTCTTGTTTCAACTGTGTCTAATCTACTGTATCAAACTGTCTTTGGGTTTTTAATTTTAATGATTATTTAATTTTTAGAATTTACTTTTGGTTCATTTTCAAACATCTCTGAAATCTATTTTATTGCATCTTAATCTTTTTTCATGTTAAAATTCTTTCTTTAAGATTTTCAAATATACTCTTCTTATAGCCTCTGATTCTTTTGTCATCTGAAGTTTTGGGGAGTCTAATCATGCTCTTAGTTGTCTGCTGATTGTGGTGAATTGTTTCCATATATGCTTACAATTTCTGATTTTGAACTTATCTACAGAAGGAATGTGTCTGGCTCCCTCTAGGAGGTTTTGTTTTGTTTTTTCCATTTGCTTCTGCCAGATCCTTCAAAAATATCACTGGATCACAATTTATGTTAATTTCTTGGTCTTGGATTTCTTACCATGAAAGTGTTATAAACCTCAACCTCAAAAACTCAAGTTAAGTGCAAACATTTCCCCCTCACCAAGAAATGGCCGTTTTTGTCTTCTGCTGTTGCATTCCTTTCTCAGTCTATCTCTCCTTTTCCCCTCTTGAAGGTTCTCCTTTTTGATGTATTCTCAATTCCAATATCTTGGGTCCCTCGGGTACAAAAACTTTTCCTCTCATGTGAGCATTAAATCTTAAGCCCCAAACTCCTTTATTGCCAATGACAACCCAACCCATATCTGCTATGGAATCTGTCAGCTCATGTGTCTACCTCTTAAATTTTTAGTCTCTAGATATTTATTATTTTTTTGTGATCTCACTATGCATTATAAGAATGGTGATTTTATCTAGCATTTCTGAGCACTTTATAATGGAAGTCATTTTAGGTTATCAATCTATATTATATAATATATAAATTCTTTATTATTTAAGTATAAAATGCTTTATAACTGTGTGCCATTATTTGGTGAGAACCGAGTTAATCTTCCTTTATCATTTCAGTTTTACTATGAATGCTAATGAACTGTATTCTCCTAATGAGATCTTGAATATTTCACAAAAATGCCTTTCTATTATAGCAGACAACAGACTGAGTGACAGTCTCTGAAGCTCCTTTGCTGCTTACTTGCTGATATTGCTTGGTACTTTGAATTTCTCAGACTTGGAATGAAGAACTTCAAGGGTATAATAATGGCCAAATGGAACTTCTTTATAAGATTGTGTTGATTTGAAACTTATATGTGTTTTTTAATATTTAGTGATTCTTTAGGAAAATACGCTTTGGCTCAAAGGATATAGTGCATAGGGATAATTCTGAATTTCACTCCAAACCACTAAGTGTTTTCTAGTTTGAAACCATATATTTCAAATAGGATCAAAACACATTCTCTGGTAGAGGAAAGAAGCCCATTCATTGTTCAGAGTGAGTTTGCAGAGATAATGCAGATCCCAGGAAATAGGTTTTCTACCTTTGACACCTATACCATGTCCTTTTCTTCCACACTTACGAAAGTCTCAAAATTTTCTATGAAAGTTTTTTGAGGGTGGTGTGGTGCTTGTCTTAACTGACTGACTCTTCTGCAGGTTGCAATGTAGGTCTGCCTTAGCCACCTCCTGCCTGTCTCTAAGCTGTCTTCTCTGGGATCTTGCTTATCCCCTTATTCAAATGTCATGTCCATGGGGGTGACTCTCAAATTTGGGTTTGTCCCTATTCTTGGCCTGTCAGTGAAGTCCCAATGCCACCTCATTACATTTGGAAGGTTCTCCAACATGGCGATCTCTGCTGTTTCAAATTCATACTTGCCAGGTGGTTTTATCAGTTAACTCCTGTGTCTGAGTCAGGGTTCAGAATTCTCCAGAGAAACAAAACCAGGGGAGTCTGTATAATTTCTTTACCTTTCTGTATCTATCTATCATCGAGAGGGAGAGAGAAGGGGAGGTGGATATTTATTTTAAGGAATTGGCTCACGTGATACTGGGGGCTGGCAAGTCTAGAATCCATCCCGAAGGTCAGCAGGCTGGAAGCTGTGGTAAGAGTTGATGTTACAACCTTGAATCTGAAATCCACAGGATTACAGGCAGGCTATACATTTGGGCGGGGTTTCTATGCTGCAGTCTTGAGGCAGAATTACTTCTTGGGGAATCTAAGTCTTTACTCTTAAGGCGTTCGACTGATCAGATGAGGCCCACCCGTGTTGTGAGGGGCAATCCGCTTTACTCGAAGTCTACCTTGAGTACATTTATAGTACTTTGACTGTAAATGCTAATCACATCTAAAAAAATACCTTCATAGCTGCAACATCTAGATTACCATTTGACCCATCAACTGGGCACGATAGCCAAGTTGACACATAAAATCAGCTACCACATTCTGCGTACAGGCTTGCTCTTGAGGATATGACTAAAAAACACAGGGATACTGGTGGGATCTTCTACTTCCTGCCTTTGGAGTCAGCCAGACCTGGAGTGAGTCTCAGTTCTGCCATCGTTGTCTGTTTGATCTTAGACGACTTGTTCGATCTCTGCAGGATTCAGTTTTCTTGTACACAGGGTGGGAATAAGGGCAGTGCCTGTGAGTCTCACAGAGCTGAAATGGGAGCAGGGATACAAACTCTTGGCCCCGAGGAGCTGGCACGCAGCGTGTCCCCCCTCAGGAATGACAGCTGAGTCACCTCAGTGTGGCCTCACTGTGTCCACTGGCAGATCAGGAATGGAGACGTTAGGGTTTGCCCGGAGTTACGGAGATCGCAAATGCCAAAGTTGGGATTTAGATGAGACTGTTCTTAAACCAAAGGCAGATTTCCTTTCCCTGCCCTGAGTGGTGGGTCCTCCCACGAGCCAGAGAAGGTGAGCAGGGTGCAGCTCAGGTGTGGACACACCTGTCTGTTCTCGTCTGCGCACCGTCCCCGCCAAGCCTGGAGCACACGAGTGCGTTTCTCTGTGCGGGGTGCCGCTGGGCACCAGCCTTCCCAACTCACTCAAACTGCCCCTCCCCCTATGCTTGGGGAAAACAGCCAGATAACACAAAAACGCATTGGATAAAGCAAGTTTCTTTTGTTAACACTCAGGGCAGACAGTCTTTCCAAACATCTGCCTTTCTCTTACTATAAAATAAAATTTTATTTGTACCATGTGGGTCTCAGTCATCTCATGAAGACGCACTTGTGTTACGTTTGTTGTGCTTTAGGGAAAGTTAAGTTAGGAGAGCAATCGGTTCGTATGATAGTTTTAAATTTTTAAGCCAACAAAGATGGTGACAGATAAGGCCTTTCCTTGAAGACTCAGCTTTGTTTTTTGTGTCACTCACGCTGTAAGGTCGGACCTGTAGAGTGGAACTCTGAAATTGTCTCTGTATGTCTTCGGTGCTGCCCTTCTGCATGGCTTCGTGATTGCCCCTGTACGTGTCCTTTTGCACACTGCAGTGTGACCTCCCTGAGGGCAGGGCCTGGGTCCCTTCCACATTTGTAACATGCATGTGGGAACACTCAAAAAATATGAAATGAATCCCAGGAGAAAAGGCAAGGACAAGCAGGTGGGTACGGATAGGGAAGACTGGCACAGAGCGCAGGGCAGGGCAATAAACCAACCCACGTGCCGGGTTCCAGAGCGTTGGTGCTGACTGAGTTTCACTACGTTTTCTTCAACCCCGCTGTGCCCATCAAACAGTGACACTCAGGCTTAAGCCGTGTTCTCTCTGCAGGGCCACTTCTCTTTCCAGTAAGACACGTGCGTGGCACGTGAAGGAGAGCGAGTGTTTCGGCTTCGTTATTAATGATAGCTTCTCTCCAGCTCACGGAGCCAGATGTGGCCCATCGAGCATGGAGAAATGGAGCAGCTGGAAGGTTCGCCAGCAGACAGCCGAGCTTTCTACACAGAAGCCGAGGCCGCGAGAGTCCTGAGACCCGCGATTCTGTTCCTGGTGTGGAGGAGGGGAGCTCTGTGCTCTCTCCATATGGATGACGTGAAAACAAGCTACGCGGCACAATCACCTGTTGCTTAGTCGTGACGGGTACTTTGAATTCAAGGATGAATTCGCCACCTATCGATGTAGCCTAGAAGCATCGACTATAATAATAGCTTATGTCCACGGGAGGTGTCTGTGGTCAATTGCTTTGCTTCATTTACTCCTTGAAGCAACGCTAAGACTCATCTCCTTCTCAGCCAGCCGTGAGGACTCTGAGACCTGGAGCACTTTGCTAACTTGCCCGGGACACTCTCCCCCCTGGAGGGAGCATCTAGAACTGGGGCGTTTGTTGGTCTGGCCCGAAACATCATGTTCCTAATCACCTTGCTGTATTCCCTCCTCCTTTGTAAGGAGGAAGTATTTAAACCAAGAACACTTGGATTTTCCTAGAGGCAGCAGAAGAATTCACCATAATGAACTTCTTTGTGTGTTTAGAGCACCATGGGGACTGAATTGAGGAGAGCTTTGATATCAGTGCACTTTTTTGTTGTTGTTAGCTTGTAAAATCTTGTAAAAACCAAGCATGAGCTTGGTGAGCTCACTGAGACGTGAACCAAGGCCTACGTGTGTGTGTCTGAACGGTGGCGGCTCCTGCTGTGTTTCTGGTAGGAGCCGCCTCTGGGCTCTCTGGAAGGAGGGTCCCCTCACAGATCCCCACTCCTGGTGGCATTCCCAGAGCCTGCCACTTGTTCTTATACTTGTTGGGCCGGGTGTTAAGTAACTGCTTTCGACTGTCTGCCAAAAGCTTCTACCACAAGCCTCAGAATCGCAGACACCAGGAGAATGTGTCTGCTGTTTTTCTTTCCTGAAATTCAGTAAAGAAATAAAAAAATTCAACAACTTTTGTTTTTAGAAATCTCAAACATTTCTCGGTGGGTGTATCTAATTCTGTTCAACCAGCGTTTGAGTGCCCACTCTTTTAATCATCACAATGTCTGCTCAATCTTTGCTGATTTCAGAGCGCTTTTATCAACAGTCCGGGCTGTGTCAGAGGCAGGCAAGGCTGTGTGCTGGAGCACCAGTGCTGAGAAGGACGCAGCCCCACCTGGCTCAGGGGCCACCGCAGGAAGGCGTCCGTTGGCTCTCTGGCTTGAAGAGGTGCGCTGACTTCATCAGGGCTGTCCTCGCAGCCTGCGGTCATCTGACAGGCTGCTGGGGGAGGAAGATGTGCTGCGCACCGACTCACAAGACTAGGAACACCATGTTTTGCATGATCGAGGAGATTTTCCTGATGACCGATGCTGTCCAACAATAGGGCAGGCGGCCTGACGGCGTGGAAAGCTCCCCTACTAAGAAGATGACCAGACCCAATGACCCCGTGTGACCAGGGAGAGGGATGTCTGATGCTATCTGTGGCTAGGGGCACGTGATCTGTGGCCAGATGACCTAAATTCTCCTCTTGCCTTCGCCACTGGGTTCTTGCTCAAACTTGGGGAAACTAATGTCTCCCCCTCATCTGGCTGCTGGGGGGATTAAGTGGGTTAATGCAAAGTGCTTAGAACAGTCCTTAGTAAGGCAGCAGTGTGTGTTAGTGGTTATTATAACGGGGCCACTCCAAGTCCACTGGTTTGTGGTTGCATTGTGACAACACGCTACGGTGGCTCGTGATGAGTAATCATTATAGAACACTTGAGGAATATTATTTATTATTAGCAAAAACTTTTAAAGAGCCGTGTATCATTGGCAGTGACATCAGATGGGAAGAGTAGCAGGCACGAGCGAGCAGAGGGCTGCTTTCCTGAGTTCAGGCTCGGCAGTCTGGCTGGGAAGACACGACGCGTGGGGGAAGACGTCACCGAGGCAGGACTCGAGCTGGTCAGCCGCGCTCTGTCACATGGCGCTATGTAACACACAAGCCAGCGTCTCACTGGCTGAAAAGGACAAACGTTCATCACTCGCAGGTGGCCTGTGGGTAAGCGCCACCCCCGGGCAAGGCTGCGCTCACGCCAGGCGCCACTGCCGGCTCAGGCCTCTCCGCGTGGGTCCCGTCTGTGACTCGGCTGAGGAAGCAGCCCCGGGGAGGCCAGTTCCTCTCGCGGTGGGGCAGGCGTGCGGCGATGAGCAGCAGCAGGGGGGCGACACTCCCTCCCGCCGTGGCTGGGAACCCGCACGGCAGCCCTGCCACCCCTTTTCCTCAACATCGGTGGAGTGGGGGATGCCTGCTCCACTTAAAGTGAACCACAGCAAGGACATGGGAGGAGGAGAGATTGTGAGGCGGTATCAACAGCGCGGGCTACCCCAGACTGCATCCGGGCACGAGCGCGAGCTGGTCGGTGTCTGGCTGGACGGCGGATGTCCTGAAGGAAAGTCTCAGGCAGGTTGTTCTGCACATACTGGGTGTGCGGCAGCTACAGGGATTTCATGTCACAGCCCCAGTGCTGACCAAGGTATTTCGTCTCTCTAAACCTCTTGGGAGGGAATTATAATCACTAGCCCATAGGATGTTGGTAGGCAGAAAGCTTACCGGAATCCCGGGCGATTCACCAGCTGCTGCAGAAGCCCAGCGGCTTTGTAACAACAGACTACCTGGTCTACCTGGAGCTAGGAGGAGATGCAGAGGAGGACAGTCCCCATCCCTGGGGGCTCACATGCTGGTGGGGAGAAACACAGGGCTGTCTTCAGGTCGGGCCTGAGGTCTCTGCCTCTCCCCACTTGGTATGTTGGAAATAGGCTGTTACCGAATGCGGCTCTGAAGGCCTGAGCAACCGTGAGTGCGCGGTAACTTCCAAAGGCCGGAGGGGTCGGCGTTATGACAAGGCCCCTAGGGGAGGTTAGGGAGAACTGGCATTGTGGAAAACAGCTGTTCGAAGTTTCTTTCCGCACTCTGGTCACTGGAGAACATTCTCCTCATACCCTTACCTCTGGAATGAGAGGTGCTAGGAATGCACACCCTCGTCTTCCGGTTACAGGGAGGTGACATGCCCACACGCAGTAGGCAGCAGGAACTGGGTTCCCTGGACTTGAGCTACGGTTGGGAGAATCACCTTACCAGGGCTTCATCTCCAACGGGGGAGAGGGCGGCCGGGCTCCTTTTAGGGGTGGACTGAAGTGTATGATCTTAACAAGTGTGTATTATTTGGCAACTGTCCTGTGGGTGTCCCTGCATTTTTAAGGTGTTGTGCGTGTATTGTAAGCTTTCTGCCTACCAACATCCTATGGGCTAGTGATTATAATTCCCTCCCAAGAGGTTTAGAGAGACGAAATACCTTGGTCAGTCTACTTCCAAAGGTCGAGCTCCTAACCACCACTTTTTCTTCCTTTTATTTAAATCGGTGGTTCTTAATTTTGGAGGGGTCCTAGACCTTATTGCGAATCTGACATAAACTTCTGACCACCTCTCCTGAGCAACATGTAAACACACTATCTGTAGACAGGGTCAGAGGATTCGCTGATCTTTTAAAAACCGTTTTTGGAAAATAAGTGAAAGATCCCTAAAAAAATAATGCAGATCTTACCCAGACAGAGAAAAACTGTGTTCTGACTAAGAGATGAGGGGTGGAATTAACTTAAACACCATCCACTGCTTTTTGGAAGAAAAGGTGAGGTCCCAGGAGAGCAGAGTCACCTTGTTCTTTGCAACCAAACAGGTGACCAACATAATTCACACGCACACACACACGCACACACACACACATGTGCGAGAGCACCTCGCACACTCCCGGCCCGTGTTTCTTGGACTGCCCGATGTTAGAATTGTTCCCACTCGTCAGGACACAGAGGGGTACTCAGCCCCCCATGATCTCCTCCTTTTCTTGGCTTTCACAAACCCAGGGTGAAACTGTCATGAGGACATCTTATCTGAGAAGATCCCAGGTCTTCCTCATCAGAGGCCAAATCAGATGTGTGAAGAAAACCCCTTTTCTAGGCATTTTGGCCAAATTCAAATAGGTCAGAGGCCCAGAAAGATTAATTAACCACAGGGACTGTTTCTTGGCTGAGGGGAGCACAGAACCTATTATCCCTTAATAGGGCACTTTTCTCAGTGAATCATGGGAGCTTGGACGGGCTCAGGAAAAAACAAAAGGACATTTTCACTAAAGCATCGTATGATCCTCTTGCTAATGTCTCTATTACCCCAGAAATTGTGTCATCATCTTAAAAGGGATTAGCTTAAAGCTTTATGTGCCTTTATGCACAATAAATATTGTTTGGCTTCAATGTTGACAAACTAGCTGTGAAAAATACAGTCTATTTCCTCTTATCGGGTCATGTTTAATGTGTTTACCAATCATTATAATTTATATAATGATGAATAAGTTGTTATGAGAAAGGTAGACAATACTCCATCTAGTAAGAATTCAGCAAAGACAAATGAGTCGAATCAAACATCCTCAGAGAGTCCCCCATGTATTCTGGAAAGAGACTTTTGACATTTGTGCTATTGATCATTCATCGCAAAGAAGGACTGGGAAGGAAGGGAAGGAAAGAGGAGAATAGCAGCAAGGTCAGGAGTGCTGCCTTGTGCTCAGAAGGCAGACAGAGATCCACCCGACAGTCTGCCCTGTGCCAGAGGACCTGCTCCATGCCAGTCCCTGTGCTGGGCGCTGGGGACAGAGCAGCAGGTACGACTGATGTGGAGCTGTGTCCTCATGAAGTCACACTGAACCTACGTAGGGTGGCTCTTCCCTTCTTCTTTTTTTTTTTTTACTTTTTTAATTTCAGTATATTATGGGGGTATAAATGTTAAGGTTACATATATTGCCCATCCCCCCCTCCCCCCTTGAGTCAGAGCTTCAAGCGTGACCATCCCCAAACATTGCACACCTCACTCATTATGTTTGTATATACCCATCCCCTCCACCCCCCTCCCCATGTGCCCATCAATACATGAGTGGATTAATAAAATGTGGTATATGTATACCATGGAGTACTATTCAGCTTTAAGAAACAATGGTGATACAGCACCTCTTGTATTATCCTGGATAGACCAGGAACCCATTCTACTAACTGAAGTATCTCAAGAATGGAAAAACAAGCACCACATGTACTCACCAGCCAATTGGTATTAACGGATCAACACCTAAGTGGACATACAGGCTCTTCCCTTCTTTACCAAGTGGGCTCACAGGACACTACTGATCATAACCCAGGTTTGGGTGAATGCATATTAACTTCTTTATGAAACAGCTCCCAGAGGAAGTTGTTTGCATTCTCCTTTCTAGAGAAGCAGATGAACTTACTCAGGCGAAAGTAGAGAGGGGGACGAGAGGGAGGAAGGATTTCTAGGCCGAAGCAACAGCATCCACCAGGGTCCTGACACTGAAGACAACGTGGCAGAGGCAGGCAGGGTCCAGCAGGGTGAGTCACAGTGATTGAAGAGAGGGTGAGGGTTGGGCTGGGGCAGAGGGACGCAGAGCCCCGAGGGCCTGGAAAGAGCTTTAGACTGGGTCTCAGAAGGGTCTTCACCGGGGACTGACATAAGAAGGTTGTACTGGAAAGATCATATGAAGGGTAGTGTGGGCAGGATGAGAGCGTCTGCAAGAAGACACACCACGGCCCGGTGACCGTGTTTCAGGGGGAGATGCCGTTGTCCCTGAGGAGCGTGGCGGCCGTGGGTGGGGAGGAGCGCACACACGAGGGGTGTGTAAGAAGCAGAATTGATAGGGCTCGATGGTGGACTGGAAGCAGGGCGGAGGCCGGCTGCTCACTACAGCACGTGTGTCTAGGGGAAAGGGGAGACAGCCGGCGGTGGTGCAGTCGTCGCCACTGGTGCGAATGAGAGGGTAGAAAGGAAAAAAAACGTGAATGATGTCCTAGAGAGGACAGAGTTTAGAGTCTCGATTTGTAACTGGATAACAGTGTCTGTGCTTTCTGCTGGGGTTAGGGGCAGCCTGCACTTCCAGACTCCGCTGTGTCCCGAGCCCACCTGGGTGCCGGCGAATGAGCGAATGAACGATGCCATGCGCCACTTTGAGAGTGGCGCTCCCCGTGCTCCCACATGTCGCACCCCTGCCCTCTGGCGAGGCCTGCAGTCCCAGCACTCTGCCTCGCCCTACGCCCCACACCTCCTGCTAACAGCTCCTTCCCCTCGTCCTCCCCTGAAGATCCGACTCCAAGCCTCCCCGGCATTGCTGAAGGGCCAATGGCGGAGAGAAGGAACGTTGCATAAGACACAGTGAAGCTTTCTGAAGCCCTTGGAATCTCCTGGGGCAGCTGCGTCAGCCCCTTTCTCCCCCTCCCACACGGCCCCGGTCCTGCCAGCTGCCCAGGCCGCACCCCTGCGCAGTCACTCTGCAGGCGAGGCTCTGTCCCCACTGCCCTTTATTTCTCAGCCTCGGGGACAGGGATGCACATCTGTTCGTTCCACATGAAAGTGCCCCACAGCCCAGAACTTCCCCAGCGGGTGCGCGGATGCTCGGGGTGGGTCCTCGGCCAAGATGCTTCCACTGTCTCTGGGCGGGGGCCAGAGGCTCTGAGAAATGTGTCGTGCTGCTTTTCCACACAGGCCCCTTTCATTCTGCCAACACCCAGGGCCACTTACAAAGCTCCAGAGTGAGGCTGGGGAACTAAGCCAGCTCACCCGCAGGGCTGGGTCTCCTCCAGCAGGCGACCCCGGTTGTTTGCAAGGCATCCGCTAAGTGTGGCAGAGTGTCCTTTTCCAACCTTAGTTTGAGGGCAGAACTCACATTTGTCAAAAAGGCCTCCCATTAGTTTTTGAGGTACCACCCATGCCCCTACTCACACCCACCCGTGGAGGCACGCTCTTGTCTCTCACAAGCACGCATGCACACGCACCTGCACACGCATGGACTCACACACATGCACTCACCATTCTTCTCCCCTCCCTTCCCGAAGTGACCTGCCCCGCCAGCAGCATGGAGCGAGCAGTGCTATGCGCCCATCTGGGCCTGCCCTGCCCACACGATTTGCCTAAAATACTCGTGAGTATATATACAGCGTGGTACGGAACTCATTTTTGAAAGCCAGTGTGGGGGCTCCAGGGCACTCCGCCATTTCCTCCTGTCCCTAAAGTTGTTAAAGTAAATTATAGGGCTGGGAGAGCGAGAGGCCAGCTGTGCTTCAGCTGCAGGCCCCAGTTGTTGTGACAAAGTGAAAAGTGTGGGTACCAGCAGATCATTAACTGTGCAGCCAAAAACAGGCTGATGGCTGGATCTCACACTCTGTCCAGAGGAGAGTATGGACCGTCTCTTGCCCGGGGCGGTGCCAGCCCTCACCAGCCGGGGAGAGACGGCAAGTACCCTGATGCCCTAATACACTGCCTCGAGCTCTTCATGTGTTATCACACTGGGGTAAGTTTTAGTTTTTTTTTCTAAGCCTTTCTTAAAATTGACAGGGGTTTTTGTCTCTGTTTTGGTTTTGTTTTAAAAATTTCCCCCACAATTTCCTGTTGCACTGCCTCTTTGGCTGAGTTCAGCTTTGCTGTTGACTATAATTACTGGGAGGCTTGTGAAGAGAGCTGAAAAATCTAAGTTGACATTAAAGGTGCATTACACTTGAATAAACCCAGGGACAGAATAGCACACGTTGGCTTGGAGTTGCCCCTGTGTTTTGTCTAGATTAACAAATTTAGACGGCTTTTGGTTTGCATAGCATTAATAACCACTGGGGCAATCTCTGGAACTCGTAAACACTGCTCAGAAATAGTCGCTAAAGTGTGAGGTTGAATAAACATTACCTCAAGGGTTTGTGAAGAATTGGCCAGAATGGAACCAAATTGTGCTTTGAAATAAGACCTTTCTCATTTGAAAGGAGTGGAGAGAGAACAGGGTCAGGACACTAAAAAGTGGTTACTTCAATTTCTTGATTATGTAGCAATCCACAAGTGATCATAGTTGACATCATCTGGTGGTGCCTCAGTTTCTCTTCCATTATCTCTAAAATGGCGATAATAGTCTAGACTACTGACTTTTCAGGCCTCACTCATTCCATGTTGGAAGAAGAGCTGAGAATCTGTTTTTCCTGTAGCAACATCACATGACTCTATGTAGTTTAACGTTGAAGGATCCATAGACATCTTCCAATTCCGCGTTATTTCACGTTTTCATTAGTTATAACTTATTTTTTTCTTAGAATATTCTTCTTTCCACACTTTCTGAAATGTTGTTAAGTAAAGGAGAGCCAATAGCCAGAGAAGATGTAGGAAAGTGGTCCCAATCCCTGTTCTTAACTGACTGTCCTGGTGATACTGTTCGTTGAGTGGTCGCTACAGTCCGGGATTTTATGTATTGTAGTTTACCTTGCAATAGCTCATTAGGTCCTCATAAGGATTCTCTGCAGTAAGTGTTACCATTGTCACTGTTTTATATTTAAAAACTTAAGTTTTAAGGAGGTTAACTTATCTGCCCACGGTCACCCGACTGGCGGTGTAACCAGGACCCTAACCCACCAGAGACCTGATGACCCACGTTGCTCACCCTCACCTGATTCCGAGCTGCCGGGCGGGATGTTCAGGGTGTCATGCGGGTGCTCAGGTTGCCCCAGATGATTAAGGGACCTTTTCCACCCCTGTCTGTGCGGAGCGAACACATACTACGGGAGGCTCGCTGGCGGAGGGCGCGCGTCCCTCGGGTGCGCCCCCTTGGCGTTGGGCGCGAAGACGCGGTGTCTCTCGGCCGAACACGCCGGCGAGCAGCGGCCTGGTTTGCTGGGACTGGGACACCCCGGGCAGAAGCGAACGTTTTGAGGACACGTTTCACCGATTGTGGGATCATCTAATTAATGACCGGCCTCCGGGCTCCTATCTTGTCAGAATTCCGACTTTCAGGTCTCTAAATACGGGCAGACTGTCCACGACGTGACTAACGTCCGGCTCAAACGCCGCTCCCTCTCCCGGTAGAAAGTCGCGCCCCGTGCAGCCGCGCCGTGACTTTTCCCCGCCGCGTCCCCATCGCCCTCACCGCGCCCTGCTCGGTGTCAAAGTTACCCGCGCAGCAGAGCAAAAGGAACACGGACTTCACAGCCAGACGGACCGGGCCTATCTCGCGGGGCTAACTTCCTGTTTTGTCACTTCCGGTTCCCGCGTAACGGAAGTCATCCCTGGAGGGTTGGTGTGAAGAGTAGTTATGGAGTAGGCCAGGTAGTACTATGATGTCCGACACAGAGGAGGAGTCCACAAGTGGTAGCTATGATTATTATGATTATTAATGAATACCTTTAAACATATTAAGTATATCTTACAGGCTGCATAATTCTTAGGAGTAGAGACCATTTGCCTAACCATTGTTACCTTCATCCATCCTCATACACATTTTAAACATTTGACAAATGTCCCTAAAATTTAAAAGTGAATGCATACATGTGTGTATGTGTATGTGTGTGTGTATTATAATGTGTGTGTATATATATATACATAGAAATGTGTGTGATATGTATGTATACATGAAATATGTATATCTGTGCATATATATCATATATACCAGCAATAGAACAAAATACACACATGTATATACATTTAATATATTGCTCTGCAGAACTGAAAATTCACTTGCCATTTTTATCATCCCCTAATCCCCACCCAGTTAATAATTTGAGGACCAACATTACTTACGGTTTTGTGGTTTTGTTGATGGTGGCATAAGATCCTTTTGTAAATTAAAGAGAAAACCGGGGGTCTAGGCCCATTCCTGGCCCGGCACTAGGCGGGAGTGTGAGCGTGCCTACAGTCACACCAGTACCGCGACATCGGTTATTTATTACTTACTTACTCCCCAGCTGCTTATTTGTTCCTGTGTCACAAAATCTGCCGGTGCAAGGAGGCTCACGTGCTGACCACGGGCAGAGGGAACAATCCTCATTTGTTTGTTGAGAAAGGAGGTGGGCAATTGACCTGACCACGTCCCCCGTGGGGCATGAGCCACACAAGTGGGGCTGGGGGGGGCTGAGGGACCAGGAAACGTCTCACACCTTCCCTACTCGGGACACTTTGGCACGCACCTGATTTTTTTGTCGTGCCTTTTGTTCTGGTGAGGCTTTAGCTGTAGGGGAGATTATATAGACAGTGCTAGCACCAAACATTTATTTAAAGTGAAATAGCACCAGCTGCCATTTCTATGTCAGTGAAACAGAGTCTCGGGGGCCTTTCCCCTTCTGAGCCCGACAAGGCAGACAAAGATAACAGCCTGCCGGGACTCTGTGCACAGTGCAAGGCGTCACTATTAAGTCCCAGGAATGTGCTCCCGACTCCTCCTCTCTCTGCTGCTTGCCTTTGTTTTTTCAAATGAGCCGGATCTTGGGTGGGCAAGGGCTCTCGCCGGGCGACTTCTCAGCATCCCCTCTCTCAAAGCCCTGGGATATTTTAATTCTCATCCTTGGTGCCCAGCACTTAAAGCACATGAAAAGTAAAGCTTTAGATTGAAGTTGAAAGAAAATACCAGAAATGGCATTTGGAAGCAATGAAATACGGCACTGGACAGATGAGACAGGCAGTACTGCAGCATTAGCCGTAGATTTCATGAGCAAATTTCAGGGTTGCATGGGCCATTAAAAGCAAAACAAAAACCATAATTGCTCTTAATCTCTATTCATTCTGCATGTGCAAATCCTGTTCAAAGGGAGATTTCAAGGGGGAAGATCAAGAGAAACATAAGCATGAATCTTTGAGTCTTTGGACGGTGCCAGATTGGATTCTCCTTCTTTGAAGACATGTTAAGAATGGGGATGGATCCTGAGGTGTGAGCTCACGTGGGGTGACAATGCTTTAAAAGACCTGCCTCCACTGCACTGTCTTCACCGGTCCCATGCAAGTCCACCGTCCCCTTTTGTGTAGGTGAAATACTTCTGCTGGGTTTTTGGCTCAAAAGCTAAGCAAGATGATGTTGCCTACATCTGTGCTTTCACTTAACTTTCCTTAAAATAACAACCAACTCTGCTTAAATTACAGGGAAATTAGTTGTGAGCCTACGGGGTTACAGATTGAGAGTGGAAACAAGAGGGAAGAGAATGGCCAATTTAATCTGATTGTAGACCCTGGAAAGGAATCCACCCGATAATTTAGAAGTCCCTTCCTCAGTTCCTCTGAGAATAAACATCCTTACCAATCCTCAGTGGCCTTATTCATGCTAATATTATTTTTATTTTTATTTATTTATTTATTTTTTTTATTTTCATTTGATGTGATCACTTACAATATTATTTTTAAAACGGGAGACAATCTAATGCAGTGATCTTGGTTTTTAATCCAATGCCTTTATTATTTTCTAGGTAATCAAGGGCAATAGTTAACACTAGTCTGTGTAGACCAGAATGTGAAGGATTCATGCACTTTGATGTACCCAAAATTTCATGATCCCACTTAAGAATATTTTGGATAATGTACAGCAATCAGACTTTTCCGTAGTGTTATATAAGCTGTGCTTGTGATCGGATGTATTGTAACTTGCACCAGCTCTGCTTTGGGCACTCACTCTGTAACAGAGTAGCCGCAGTCCATTGAAGTCTGATCTCTCTCCACATTTGCAGAAAATGAGACTGAGTCCGTGTACTGATGGGTACTGATGAGTGCCTGTACTGCACTGAATGAGACACTTGGGAAAGTCTCATCTCCACTTCCTTCTCCCTCTCTGCCTCCGTGTGCCTGGTGGTTTTTTCCAAGCAAAGCTTGTTCATGGTCATAGTGACATTACTTTCAGCCACAGCCCCACTTTGAGATTTTAAACTCTCTTGAGTCTCTCTCATCATTACAACCAGATTCTGTTTTTCCCAGTGGGTTTAAATCAATTGATTTTCCCTCATTATTATTTTTTTTTAAAACAGATTGGACCCTAATGTCTAGACTCAAAGTAAATGGAAAGTTCACATGAGTAATATTTCCATGTCTGTTTCTCTCTTTGGAATCAGAAGCATGAACCATTTCTGGTCTGACCATCTTTGGAGGAAAGTCAGCTTTCTTTTACTTTGCCTGGGATCGGTTAGGCTGGGCGCGTTGGCCTGGGGGCATCGGCATGAGTGCGCAGCCTCAGTCTGAAGCTGCAGTGAGCATCCTTCTCTCTCTGATGGGAGAGGCTAGGCAGATAGCTTCACTGACCCCCAGCTCTGAGCCCTCTGCATTGCACCCGTCTGTAATGGATAGGCCCGCCAGGGACTCTGACTTCTGCACATTGTGCCACTTTGATCAGTTCAACTTTAAAGGGTGATTTCTTCAAAAGATGTTGAAAGCTTCTTAAGTTGAGTGACCTCATAGCAAATGCTAAGCTGCTACTTCTCATCAAATTTCCTTCTCAAGGAGCATATGCAACTTTTCAAAACTTCGCTTTATTCAAATTGTCACACCAAGCCAGAAGATCACCCCATTAGAAAAACAGAGCACAACTCAATTACCATCTCTTTTATGAAGTGAAAAATTATTCTCACATTGTTGCCCCATGAGAAGTTACAATTCCTCGTGTGACAGATGATGACTTAAACCATTACATTGCTTCTTTATGAACTCAGGGCAGAGAGGAATTGGAAACCTCTAAAAACCCTATCAAGAGTAGCTGGATGCTTCCATATGATTTCTTAGCTCAGGAATGACCTGGATTTTTCTTGGTTAGTTTCTGAAAAATAATGGGAATATTTGCAAAATATGTTGCTATACATGGTAATTTAAAGAAAAATGAATTTAGGTACAGGTAATATAAGATAAATAGTAAGAAAACGTAGGCAAATATCTAATCTCTATATGAGAGAAGACTTTCTAAAAAAATAAGCAAAGGGAAGAATCAAAAAGGAAAAAAAGGGTAGATTTGTTTGCATAAGACTTTAAAAATCTTGACATATCTTTATGTATTAAAAACTTCATTGATCAAATTAAAACAATTAAAAAAGGAAATATATATTTGCAACAAAGCTAATGGTTTGGGGTTAGTCTCATTAAGATATAAAGAACCCATGAGAATCAATAATTAGGGTACACAGTTAATAATACTGTACACGTAATAGAGGAAATTAATATGTCTGATAAATAATAAAAAAATTCAACTGTGTTAGTAATCCAAAAAGTGTGAAACTTTAAAAAGTTAAACTAATATCAGACAATTAAAAGAGATGCTAATTACTGGCAAAGATGTGGTAATTGGGCATTTCTATACATTGCTAGTAGAATTATAAACTGATCTGACTTATTAGAAAGATAATTTAGCACAGTGCATTAGGAGCCTCCCAAAGTTTTTAAGCATAAAGTCATTCATTGTCATGTTTTGTTTTTTTTTTTATTTTTTTTTTTTTTTTGAGACAGAGTCTCAAAACTCCTGGGCTCAAGCAATCCTCCTGCCTCAGCCTCCCAAGTAGCTGGGACTACAGGCATTCGCCATCATGCCCAGCTAATTTTTTGTATATATATTTTTAGTTGGCCAATTAATTTCTTTCTATTTATAGTAGAGACGGGGTCTCGCTCTTGCTCAGGCTGGTTTTGAACTCCTGACCTCGAGCAATCCGCCCGCCTCGGCCTCCCAGAGAGCTAGGATTACAGGCATGAGCCACCGCGCCCGGCCTCATTGTCATGTTTTTATGCTAGCAGAAAGTAAGAAATAATCGAATGATCAAGAAAATTATTGTGGGTTAAAAAACATATAATTATGCAGTCATTAAATGATATTCTTTGACAATTTGAACAATAAAGGAAAATGTTCAAGTTGATTGTAAAAAGAAGAATACAAAATTATATATTCAGTATGCAGAAATATGTGAAATTCTGTTTACATTACAAAATTGCTTAGAAATATACCAAAATATGAAGGAGATTACTTCTGGAATAAAATCTTTATACTTTATTTTATACTTTATTCTTTATACTTCCTATAGTTCCACTATTCTGAAGTATTTAAAATTACTATGTCTAGTAGTTTTCAATCAGAGTTCCCAAGCTACTTTTATATGTCAGTGCAAACTTTTATAACTGAGTCTCAATTGTTGCATTTTTCACCATAAAAATTATTAGTGTATGTGTATTAAATTAGTCTATATATTATGAGTATATATATATGTTATAAACTATGTAATAATGTATGTATACTATATAAGATAAACATGATTTATTAATATTAATATATTCATTAATATACTCATTAACTTGAATTATATTAACAATTACTGTATTCATAAGTTGATATTATATGCTACATAATATCAACATATGTATCAATATTTATGTATTTTAGTTTATGAAAAATAATGAATTTCTAACAACAAAAAGGGCTAATTGAATTTGTAGCTAATTTGGAGTTGACTCAATGCATTCTACATTGTCTTTCCCTTTATAGTAACATACCACAAGTATAATTCCTTGATGTCAAATTCGGGGCTTCCTGAGACCCCTTTGAGGGCTCTCGTACTTTAAACAGCATGCGCCACAACAAATCTCCAGTGCAACAGGGCCTTTTGGACGGTGCCCTGGCGTCCTTTGTGGTGGAGTCTGACTTTTATAAGGTGTTAAGAGTTGCTGTGTGAATGGACATTGTCACCCATAACTTCGGTGCTCAGATTAGCTAAATATGTTGCCTTTCAAAAAAGAATTAAGTTGATCTCCAAGAAAGGACAAACACATGGGAGAATCAAAGGGCTCTTTCAGATTTGTAAACCTAATATCAAAGAATTTAGAAGTCTAACCCAGCCTTACAGGTGTCCTTTGCTTTGATCATTAATTAAAATGTGACTTCTATCTGCAGTGTCACTGTTGGAGGACTTGACAAAACAAAGTACGTCAGGTACCTGACAATTTCTCATAATGCCCTGAAAGACAGGTGTTCATTCCTGCAAACGCTTTGAAGCTAAAAATAAAATAAAACAAAATTTAAATTAAAGGATATTCCCAAGCACATAGTAATCATCTTAATACGTACATTTCAGGGTCTTTTTTCCTCGCTGATGGTGGTGGTGGTGGGCCGGGGGAGGGGTTGGTGTTAAAGACGGCAAAACCCCGGGCTGGAAAGGAATGCAGAAAATGGGGTAAAGTAAAGCCGTGTAAGTCATTTGAGATCAATCGTCAGAGAATGTGTCTCAGCGGTGTCATTATCAGATTAATATTTGAGTTCCAATTTAAGCTGGAATTATTTGGATAACAAAAATCAAAAGAAAAGTTTTTACAAACAATTCTGCCTTGGAGCAAAAGAAACGTACGTATCAGAGATGGGATTTTTGTGATTTTTCACCACACCTCTCAAATTCCTGTAAGCTTGTGTTGCTTCATAAAGAGTCATGGATGCGGTAACTGTCACAGGCCTGATGTGTTTTATCTCGAGTCAAAATTGGGAAAAAGCCCAAAATTCTTGTACTTGCACATGAGCTTCAGGTGGACCATAGACTGCCTGGCAAAATAATCTGCAGAGTATTCTGATTATTGTAAAAACACGATTTATTTGACAAGTCACTTGGTGTTGGCAACAAGAGGAGTTGCCTCTTTGGGGGTAAGAAGCAAACCCTTGGTAAATTGTTGCTGCTGCTTATTTCCGCATCGGCATTTACTGAGCCAGGGTCCAGTGAGCGGTTAATAAATGTTTCTGAACTCTGAAGGAACTTACAAAGGAGGATAGTTGGAGTCTGTGTACTAAGAGCAACCAGGGAATAAAAGCATTCAGCAAAATACATGGACTAGAAAACTTCGTACAGAGGGTTAAAAGAAAGCTTGAGGCACGTTCATTATGCACAATGTTAAATGAGTGGAATAAACACAACTCCAGGAAAGTGAGGGGAGGGGAAGGTAGGGACCAGGTGTCTGTTGGTTCAGAAGGAATTCCCGTGGTGGCAGCACTGCAGAAGTCCTCAGAGAGACTCCACGTGGCAGAGAAGGGGACCACTGCGGGTCCAGGAAGCCCTCGGTGGTGAGATGTGTTGTCACCAAGGACCAAGGACAAGCTGTGGGTGGAACTCTTGGCCGTCTAGGGGCCTGAGGAGGCTGGGGACAGGTGGGAAGATTTAAGCACAGGGTAAAGGGCTGAGCTGAAGGGGAGCTATTGTGGGATTATATGGTCAGTAATTTTGGAGAGAGAAATTACTTTGGTTCTGGCCATAGGACACTTGGCGAAAGAACTTCCATCAAACGCAGGAGGTCAGAGATAAGGCAGT